AGAAAATCCCGCACCCGGAGGTGGTCCCCAGCTGGCCCCTAAATAAAATTGTGTGCTAGTTCAGTGAAAATGGACGTCACACTAAACTCCAAAACATATAAATGAACTAAAATTAAAAAACATACAAGACTAACAAAGGCCAGAGGCTCCTGACTTGGGACAGGCGCAAACATGCGGCAGGGTTAAACATGTTTTGTGTTTACATGCTTTTACTGTATTATAATCACTTTCATTTATATTTGATTCAGTAGTATTCGGTGTCATATATATTGATTATATCCGGTTTCATATATCATTGACAAACGTGAACCCTTTTTTTGGTATTAGTTAACTTATTGATTGGTGTTAAATGCCACTTTGAGCACTACTAGCTATTTCGTGGCGGTCACTTTTTATTGGCAGAGGAAGTCGTTGGAAAACTGGAAAGCCTAGTCAATTAAGATTGGAGATGAACGCACCTACCACGTGCGGGGTTTAAACTCGGTGTTGTCAATCTAGTGATACAGTATTAAACTACTTAGAGCTCTTATGCTCCTTTTTTCGTCACTAATGCTTACATCACAATGTAAGAACAAATCTGTATATTGTTAATATGGTCTTATTATATCAGATGAGGAAACTAAGAAAGCCTATTAGGGTCACAAAAAAAATAATATTTATCTCGTAATTACGAGATAAATATCTCGTAATTACGAGAAAACTATCGCGTAATTACGAGATAATTATCGCGTAATTACGAGATAACTATCGCGAAATTACGAGAAAATTATCTCGTAATTACGAGAAAACTATCTGGTAATTACGAGATAAAATTACATATATATATATATATATATATATATAGATTTATACAGATCATGATTACCCTTCCGGGCACCTGATAAAACGCTCGTTTTTATAAGCTCAACTGACCCAAAGGGTCAAGTGATCTTTTCCCATCACATGGCGTCCGTCGTCCGTCGTCGTCTGTTAACTTTTACAAAAATCTTCTCCTCTGAAACCACTTGGCCAAATTGAACCAAACTTGGCCTTAATCATCCTTAGGGTTTCTAGTTTAAAAAAAAATGTATCCAAAGACCCCGCCCACCAACCAAGATAGCCACCATGGCTAAAAATAGAACATGGGGGGGGGGGGGGGGGGAGTAAAATGTAGTTTATGGTTTGTATCTCTGAAACTAAAGCATTTAGAGCATATATGACAGGGTAAAAATTTTCAGACGAATCAGACTTCCCGTTGTTGGGATGCTGCCCCTGAATTGGTAATTTTAATGATTATTTTTCAGTTTTTGGTTATTATCTTGAATATTATAATAGAAAGATATAAACTGTAGCAGCAAAAATGTTTAGCCAAGTAAGATCTACAAAAAAGTCAAATGACCAAAATTGTCAATTGACCCCTTATGGAGTTATTGCCCTTTAAAGTCATTTCTGCAATTAAGTAAAATTTTTTAATCTTTTACAAAAATCTTTCTCCTCTTAATCTACTTGGCCAAATGAATTTTTATCACGTAATTACGAGATAAAAAAACTTCTTATCTCGTAATTACGCGATAGTTTTCTCGTAATTACGCAATAATTATCTCGTAATTACGAGATAAAAAAATGATTTTCTCGTAATCACGTGATAGTTATCTCGTAATTACGAGATAAAACAATGATTATCTCGTAATAACGAGATAATTATCGCGTAATTACGAGATACATTTTTTTTTGTGACCCTAATAGGCTTTCGTAGGAAACAGTTACTTGATTCTTATCTGTTTGAAAATCGATAAACTTCTGTTGCCTTAATTTGCGTTTAATTGTCTCATGTACTTTTCTGCGACTCAATTTTATAACAAAATAAGTAAAATGTAAATTTGCACTTAGTGTACATGCGCCTGTTTATGAAGTAAGATAAATGTTCCAACATGCACAATAAATAATAAGGAAGAGATCGTAAATACATTAACAAAAGAAATGTCTATGTAAAGTAAAAAAAAAATAAAAAAAAAAATACTAAACATTTCGTGCGTCCGAAGCGTTTTTCTGGATTAACCTTCATCAAGAACGTGAAACTCAATCATATGAAAGTAAAAGCTTTATAAATACATAGAAACGTGTGAAGCTCAATGAAAAAGAGATACAAAAAGGTATAGCCTAATTCATCTGGGGTAAACATTTTGAAATATTTTATGTAATTAGAGGCATGCATGATGTGGGAAAAAAGTCGTTATGAATGCAAAATGACTACGTGTATAAATGAATAAACTTATGCTTGTTTCCTTATCTATTCTAGCACCTATGTTGACAATGAAATTATATTGAAGGCTGACACACCTAGTAATAGTTATTGGTCATATGGAGGTTTTTCTGGTGACAACATCTGGAAACATGGCGGTCGCGATGCTCCGTTTGATCAATATGTAAGTGTGATATATGTCGATCTCATATAGGTCGAGCCTTTTCAAATGGTTTTTATACGCCCGTCAAATTTTTGACGGGACGTATTATGGTATACAAATGTCCGGCGTCCGTCCGTCTGTCTGTCCGTCTGTCTGTCCGTCCGTCTGTCTGTCCGTCTGTCTGTCTGTCCGTCTGTCTGTCCGGCGTAAACATGTCGCACCGTAACTTGAGAATGACATAAAAATTTCATGAAACTTAACATAGTTGTTTCTTATGATGGTCAAACGATCTGTATACTTTTTGGTGAAAATAAGATCAAAGCTTTTTGAGTTACGTGTTTTTTTTTCACATGTCGCGCCGTATCTCAAAAACAATTTATGATTATTGCTTAAAACTTTACACACTTCTTAGTTATATTAACCTTAAGATCTGTATACTTTTTGGTGATGATTCAAAATTTTATTTTTGAGTTATTGAGTATTTTGTAAAAACAGGGGGAGGGGTTTTTCACATGTCGCGCCGTATCTCAAAACGATTTATGATTATTGCTTAAAATTTCACACACTTCTTAGTTATATTAATCTTAAGATCTGTATACTTTTTGGTTTTGATTCAAAATTTTATTTTTGAGATACTGATTTTTTTTTTTAAAGGGGGGGTTTTCACATGTCGCGCCGTCTCTCAAAAACGATTTATGATTATTGTTTAAAATTTTACACACTTCTTAGTTATATTAATCTAAAGATCTGTATACTTTTTGGTTTTGATTCAAAATTTTATTTTAGAGATATTGAGTTTTTTGTTAAAAAAAAAGGGGGTTTTCGCATGTCACGCCGTATGTCAGAAACTATTTATGCTTATTGCATAAAAATTCACACACAAGACGACGGGCGTATCATGCGCTCATGGCGCAGCTGTTTATTACAGTTTATTTTTATGTTGTGATGTACCATTGCTGTCCCGGGTTAAGTTGAGGGTTGAGGGCTCGCAGACATTATTAACCCCGCTATATTATGCATGTGCCTGCCCCAATTCAGGAGCCTGTATTACAGTAGTTGTCGTTGGTTGCTTGCTACTTTATATTTGTTTCTTTTATTGTTATGTGCATTGATCAGGCCGTTAATTTTCTTGTGTTAAATATTTTACATTTTTTCATGTCGGGCGTTTTATAGCTTACTATAAAGTTGTTTTTTGTTCATTGTTCATGGTATTGCAATACGGTGACCTGTAGTTGCTTGATATGTCAGTTGGTCTTAAGTTGATAATTATCTCATCACATTGACTCAAAGCAATGAAAACGCTTAATTTGTTACGCAGACGCGTTTTGTCTACATGAGACCCATCAAATCATAACAGTGGGAAGGCCAAATCAGAGTAGAAGTTCAACGAAAACCAAACAATCCAAACAATAGGGCTTTATACATGTATGTATGTATGTACTGGTAAATGCCTCCGTTATCCGAAGAACCCCTCGAAAGCTGCGAGGGAACAGTGGCATCCATGTACACTCCCTATTGGGATTAATGGAGATGTGTCACTAACGTATATTTATACGACAATTATTTTTACAAGGACGATCAATCCCCACCCAACACAAAGGGAGTGCTAGGACACCGGGAAGTCTGTTATTGTGGTGGAGGAAGCCGAAGTACTCGGAGAGAAGCACTGGGCCACTCGGCGGAAGCGGACAAACCAGGGAGATATCAGAAGATTGATACAACTAAAGCAATCTATGTCTTGGGAGTAGAAAAACCTAAGTGTTTCATAAACAGACAATTGTCAGAAAGTGACCGTTACAATGATAGTGTATGTTTATTCTATTTGGCGGATGAAACTCCAGGTGACAAAACGTCCGCCAGAATTGGCATCGGTCAAGTGGTTGTACAATTTTACATGAAACTAGGCTAATAATATTGAACGCCAGACATTCGTTTTTTCCTACATAATACACACCAGTAGTGCCGAATGAAAACAAATACGGATTTGAGGGAAACAGACCTATACAATAGCCAAATGTGATAGAATTGAAAATATAGAAATAGCATACCTGGAACTCGAATTTCACACTTAAAAACGATTACAGTAAAGCAGTTATATAAGGCATGACTTAATAACTACGGCCATAAATAAGTTGTCATTTCCGTATTATGTTTACAGCTTGTTTGTAACACCACTATCCAATGTGAGGTGCAGGGTTGAACGCTCAGAAAAATGAAATTTTTAAACCTACTGCATTCTATATTTGCCTGTGGTTGTTGTTGGTGCTGATTTTTATTGTTTTTTTTTGTCATACCTCATGATGTTTTTTTTTTCACATCATTTCATATGAGGGCCTTTTGTAGCTGACTATATATACGGTATGGCTTGTTCTCCTGGTCGAAGACCGTATAGTGACCTTCTAGTTTATTATATGCACGACATTTGGACATTTTCTGATATATGGTTCATTGGCAATCACACAACACCCTCCTGTATTATATTTACAATGTGTAATTGTATTTCACCTAACCTATATAATCTAATTTTTTCAGTAATAATTGTTTAATAAAAAATGCATATCAATCGATGCTATTTTATTTCTTAGTTTCAGCTAATACTTAATGTCGCTGTGGGAGGCAATTGGTTTAAAAAAGACTATCAGTATGCTTATCAACGCCCATGGACAGACTCGTCTCGCCAACCAAAAAGAGATTTTTGGGAGCACCGAAACCAATGGCAAAGTTCATGGCAGGGTGATAATGCTGCCATGGTTGTTGATTACGTTGAAATGATTCAATATTAACATATATGGAAGAATACCTGTAATATTTGTACAACAGAAATGATATTTGTCACGTGATTTGTTTATTCTATTCTTACTCTCCTTTAAGTATGTCATTAGATGATAAAGCTGTTTTGTTGTAATAACACTCGGACCGTCGGTTTTCTTCTCTGCATGATTTTACATTTTGTTATACCGGGGACCGTTACATCATACTGTACAGTATGGGTTGCGCTCATTGTCAAATACCGCACGTTGAGTTGTGATTTTTTACATCCGTGATCTTTGGTCTGGTCTGATAGTTATCTTTTTTTTGCAATCATACAACATCTCCTTTTTATATTGAAGATAATCGATGTAATAATTGTAGATATGATCAGTCAAAGGGCATTTTATCAAAAACAAGAACAACACATAAACACATAAAATTATTAAAAAAAACCCGTAACATAATTGGATATTTAGTGTACGGTAACATACTTAACTGTCGTAAGTCTTACAAGCTTTAACATACTTTTTTTGAAAAACATGTCATATAATATTACAAACTAAATGTTCATGATATCACATTAATTCATGACACAAAGTCTCTACTCGCATTTGTCAAAATTAAAAGCAAAAGGAACAGCGCATGTGTTGCTGTTCCCAATCTCAAAATCTCAATAAACTATTTTGCTAAACGCATGCTCTGATATTTGTTTTTTGAAAGTGCTTCAAATGCGCAGCGCGCAAGAAATTTATATTTGTGATTTGAACGCTTAATTGACATTACATGAAATGCAGCCATCTTTGTCTTGTAAACATTTTGAGTAAAAATGCCATTCGTAATCATCATCTTTTATAACTAGTTGTCCACCCTCAACAAGTTCACAGTTCATAATGCCTTCATACCGGTAATTGAATCCAAGGCAGTCATTAGACTTTTGACATTCTATAGCGCAAAATGTTCTGGTCTTCTGTGTTGTTACTGATGTAAGATATCCTGTTGCATAAGTATGATACATTCTGCAGTAATACCCTGTAGGATTGGCTGAAAGGTGTATACATATACTAATATAGTTATTTAAGAAAAAAAGCAGGTACTACACTTATTTCATGCATTTTTTCATCAATTCAAAACATTTTAGACTCTATTTAGATGTTACATCAAACGAAGGGACAGTGATACAAATTGTATGTTACATTAAGCATATTAAGGAACGGTATTATTATTAACATGCATCACCCCAACTAAAAACAATTTTCTAAAACGAGCGCAAATTAAACATGTGATTCTGTATATACAATAAACGTGCGCAGCAGCCTTTTAAGGTGGTACCCAACACCTTGACTAATATTAATTTGGCCCGTTTAATTTTCTTAAAATTTTGACAAAATTTTTACTTTGACCCTTTGACAAAAATATAAAAATTTCAAAAAATTTGAACCAACCACTTTAAAAATTTCATTGGTTATATAGCAGTTTGACAAACACTAATTTTGATCATTGAGAAGCTTAATATTTCCTTAACAATACAACGTGATTAAAACGTTTCGCTGATTTTTACAGAGTTATCTCCCTGTAGTGTTAGGTACCACCTTAAATTCGCATTTATAAGAATTCAAATGCTTATAATGGTAAAGACCGAATTTCCTTTTTTTCTATATATTATATAAAATTAAAATAATATCAGATTTTGTCCGTTCTGTCATTTGTAAAATCGGGCTATAATCATTTTTCCTCATTTCTTATTAGTCCATTCAGAGCTAGTGTTTTTTTCTTTATCATTTGTTTCATATGGTAGATTGTATTCAAAAGTTAAAATCAAAATACAACTTTAAAACAAAATACAAAATAATGTCACTCTGAAAAGAGCAACATAATTATTGTAACTATGCATTTAACTTTCGCTGAACAATTTAACATTTGTTTTTTTTTTTTTTTCTGATTTCAAATTGTTGTGTTGAAATTGGCCAATCTGATAGATAATGCATTCCAAATTTGGTAAATATTTCCTTGGTTTACGAAAGATAAGCACCCATGAAAAACCTTGTTGGGTTTTTACTGGTTGCGTATTCATTACGTCTTTGACCTAATTTCTTTTTGGCCTAATTAAGTCTTAAACGCTGTAAAATCAAAGGCCTCAATGTTGTTGAAACAGAGAAGTTTCATTAAAGGATATCTAAAAACTACGTAAAAACCAAGCAGAACTGAAAAAATAGTTTTTAGAAATTTTATTTTTAATCCAATATTTTAGATAAAGTTTATTTTAATACTTAGATTATTACCTTTGATAATGAATTTCCATTCACCAAGTGTGGTGGACGTCACACCAATACCGTGAATGGTAAAGGGTCTGTAATCTGTTCCTGTTAGAAGTCCATTACTGGTTGTTTCTGGATTCCCGGTACCAAACGTTATCACTCCACTATTCCATGTAACCCATACCATAGTCATTTCAAAGCAAGTCAGAAGGTTACGAACAACTTTTCTTGCCAGTTCAACAACTTCCCCGTCTGAAGTTCTCCACATGATAATCAAATCACCATAGAATGCGAAACAAATTTCATAGAATTCGGTTCCTGCAAGATCAGTTGCATCAGAAAGTATAATACAGCCACCAAAGCAAGCAAATTCCAAGATGATTACATTTCCTGAAACTGGCGGTATCAATCCAAATGGAGTAAGGTTTGTGTAGCCTTTGAAAGCGTCTTTTGTACCAACGGTTGCTGTATCATTGAAAAATGTTTCAATATATACTTCATTTATACTATTACCTAAAAACATTAACATGATTAATTCACATTAGTCGTATACAGCATTGACTGAAAAAGTTAGAAATTTACATTTCGTCAATGGAAAATGTGTTGCAATCTGAGCTTTCTTCTACACAATGCACTCTACCTACCAACAACGAATGTCTCATATTTTCTTTCTAGATAATTCATTATAATCAATAAATCGGACAATTTTTATCTGTAATTCCTTGACCTTTTACATAAAAAGGTGGTCAGTCATATTGGTAACTTGCAAACTTTATTAATCAAATAGTGTTACATTTTCATTAACATCACAAGGTACACTTTACCAGTATAACACAAAATACTATAAACCAAATTATTTTCGCGGATACTTTATTTCGCGGATACTTTATTTCGCGTTTAACCCTTTCGATTCCACTTCATGGCGATTTAATTTCGCGATTTTCAAATGTATTGGATGTAGTCAAATAAGAAAGATCCAAGTTTTCCGTATTCGTGGCGATTTATATTCGTGTTATACTTCTTCTTGCGAAAGTCGCGAAAATAAATCGCTCGCGAAAATATTATAATAGCATGTCATATTTAATTTTGATGAAAAGTTTGAAAAAAGAAGATTTAGTAGATTGCTAATGAGAAACTATTCATAAAGACCAAAGGGAAATTATGTAAACAATTACATATCACCGTGCGGAATTCAACAGTCAGCAAATACCATACCCCAATAGTCAGCTATAGAAGACGACAGAATGACAAATGCGAAATAAAAAACTAACGACATGATTATACTACAACGATTTAAACATGTAAAAGTTACCAGGCTTATAATATTAGACGCAAGAAACGCGATTCTTCTACATGAGATTCATCAGTGGCGCTCAAACCAAAAAAGTTGCAAAGCCAAATCGATATTACGAAGTTAAAACAAAAAACAAAAAAAAACAAACGAAAGACGACGTCAAAACGAACAAGTCAACAAAACATTACATAGAAATCCAAATACTGGGCAACATCGGGAGTGATTTCATACTCCAGAAAAAAAAGGTTTACATTGAATTATTTTGTGAATACCTTCTCATACTTCACATGGAATGTGAGTTAATGGGTGGGGTTCATGTTGCACAGTCTTTAGTTTTCTATGTTGCGTTTTGTATACTGTTGTTTGTCTTTTGATCTTTTTTTTTGCCATGGCGTTGTCAGTTTATTTTCGACTTATGAGTTTGAATGTCCATTTGGTATCTTTCGCCTCTCCTTTTCGAAATGTAAAGCAGGAAGAATATCAAACGAATATTAAGATAAATGAAAGTTTCTTACCTAGAACGCCTTTAAGATAGTCGGCACAACAAAAGGCCACCAACACACATATGTACAACATTATAATGTGCTATTTCATATTCATGAACATTAATTTATATCACTAATTCATGTAATAATTTGTTTTCGACGTAAATTTGTGTCCTTGTCATTGAAAACAATATGAATTTTTATTATCTTTTTAACCACGAATTCTGTTTTTGTTTTATTTTGATGAAAGAAATATCACATTTACCTTAACAGATGCAGCATAATTTAATAATTCAATCCCTAGAAAAATAATACTATATCTTGTTTGACAAGACGAAAATATTTTGTTCGTATGAAATCTTATATTGGCAAAAAAGACAAACTACGGTATAGCTTGCATTGATAAAGAGCATTGATCGGTTGCTTACCTACGTAGCTTAAAAAAACTATTTTCAGATAAATGTATATTCGTAACTGTATATTTCTATTGTTCGATTCTACAAAGACATTTAGTACTTATTCAAATTTTTCCACTCACCAGATATTTTTATTGCGCCCACGTACGAAAGAATAACACTTTTCTCGGTTTGCTATTCCGTACGTCTTTATTAGGCTTAAGTTTTGGTTTATGGTAGTTTAGTACGATTGATTAATTAGTTTTTGGTAATTAACGCCATATTCAGAAAGAAATCATAAGTAAAGGACATGGCAAACAAGGAGCATGGAAAAAGATTTGGTTTGGAAGTTATACTTTTAGAAACGATAACATATCCAAATGTTACGGTGATATTGTTTATAGAGTACGTAAACTAAATTACAATCCATGTAAACATATTATCAACTATAAGGTAGTTTGGTTCTTGTCCAACTATAAGGTAGTTTGGTTCTTGTCCAACTATAAGGTAGTTTGGTTCTTGTCCCACTATAAGGTAGTTTGGTTCTTGTCCCACTATAAGGTAGTTTGGTTCTTGTCTCACTATAAGGTAGTTTGATTCTTG